AAGCAGAAATATGTGTCTGCACGGAGCCCCCCCGACTCATCGCGGGAACTCCAGCAAAAGGCAGCGGATCGGTTGAGGAGTTGCGCCCCGCAGGGAACAATCGATAAGGAGCACGAAGGATACGATCTATGAACTAAACTACCAAAGGAAACGGGCGGGTGGGCAAGGAAGCAAGCACCTGAACAAGCGGATGATCTGCGCGAAGGAGACGGAACGAGCGGGCGACCTGTGCAAAGGAGAAGATCCCCTGTAGAGAAGAAAACAAGCTAACGATCCGCTCCTATAGGGAAGGATACAATCTGACAAAGGGGCCTGCAGGGACTGGTGGCTGCAGGGAGAGGCTCTGGTGGAGTAAGGAAAGCTAGATTTTCTTTTGAAACTTTAATGCCATGTAGATTTTTTAAGAATAAAACTCTCTAATTTTTTATTAAGCAAATAACTAATAAAACTCTCTAATTTGAGCTATATATATATGTAGCTCAAATTAACCCTCTTACAACTGGAAGAAAATTCAACTTATCATGATAAAAGGAGAAGATCCCCTGTAAAAGAATAACTTGGAGGTGAGCTCAGGCGGACGAAATCAGCAATATGAAGGATACAATGTGTCATTACAAGTCTTAATGGTCAAGTGAGATTGCTTAAGAATTTCTCATTATAAATTAACTAAGTAGATCTTTACAGAAGCCTAAAAAATGATGAACACAAAACTCATTAATTTATAACCTTTTTCCTCAATTACCCATTGTAACAGCTAGTTCAATGAGTCTTTGGGATTTCAATATTGGGTCCTTTGCCAGCCATCGGAGGGCTGTTTTGTATAATTTTTGGGAAATATTTTTAATCATTTAAAGATTTATTATAGAGGTATTCTAGCCTAAAAATACTACACATATTCGAAGATAAAAACTAATGAATTATTGAATCAAAATGCTTTCATGATAAAATCATTCAATGCTTTAATAGAAAAAAAAGGTTTTCATCTTAATTTTAACCCATTGACCAGTCTTTTTTAGCAAATCTTTTCTCACTCAATCTTTAGGAAAATTTAAAAGTGAATAATCTTTGCAATCACTTTGGATTAAAATTGTATTTCTTTTGTATTTGATAGCCTTAATCACGACAAAAGTGTTGAAGCAAAATATGGTATCATTCAAGTAAATGTAAGCATTGTCTTAGAGATGGTGCATTTGCTCATAACAAAGGTGATTGTGCTCATTCCCCATAAAAGAAAAGGGTGTGATGATTTTCCTCTTGCTTGTAGGAAAAAAACTAAGCTTGTGGTTACAATTGGTAAGATGAAATCTTAGTAATGGTTGGGGAATAGAATGAAGGACATCTAGGATGCCAGATCACATTAATAATGATGTGCTCAATTTCTCTATAGATTTAGTTTTACATTCATTGCATACTTGTTTATTCACTTAAGCATTATCTGATGCAGCTTATGCTTAAAACATAAATGATATTATGTTGGAGAAAATCTTAACTATTGTGCTAATTAGCAATATCTCTCATATCTAATATTATCTAATAAGCACCAGCTGCGCCCCTTGTTGTTTGTATTTGGACACATTATCATTCTTAAGGTTAGCGAAATTATTGTTGTAACTGGTGAAGCTGAGTTTAATATTAATATTATGCATTATCACTCAACACAATTTATATAATCATCGACATCATATATATCTTGTGTGAAGTCACTTGTAGGATTACATAAGCCTATAAGTGTGTTTTCTAAAGGTTTAATCCTTTAGATTACGGTTTATCACCTAAACATGCAAATGTATTAATCTATATACATTATGCATATCTTGATTCTCACATTGTACACTGTAGTGTAGCAAAACTAGTTATCATACTCTTAGCTTTCACATATTATCGGAATATTATAGCTTTTGCTATGCACAATTATTTCTCTAGCTTTCACATTGTGTTGGACTTTGAGAGATTGATTGATTGTATTTTATAAAGAAATTCTAAAAAAAAATAAATGCACACCCAATTCACCCTCCCTCCTATTATTATGCCTTAACTCCACAAAATAGACAAGAACGGGCTAGCACACATGATTGACATATCATAGCTTATGTCGTGCGGAGTTACCTACAGCTTCTACGATATGTTGATTGTGCAAGGTTGATTGGTTGAATTTCATTAAGCACGCAAATCACCCTCTATTGTGTACTTTGACTCCAAAAGTAGACACGAGTTTGCTACGATACCACTCTTAAATGACTTGCCACATCTTGATCCAAATGTATTGAAAGGTAAACAAGGATGAACAAGGGCATCACCCTTAAGCGATAGTGAAAATCAAGTAAAGATTGATCAACTCTTGATCTAAAATTAGATCTGTCACTGGAATTTGGAAACTTTGAAATGAGAAAAATCAAGGAATTAATTCACATCACGATAAGAAAAATAAATATATCTAGTTTATAATAAACTAAATGAGAAGAAAAAAAATAAACTAAAGATATTGTTGAAGGTTATAAGTTACTTTATTTTGAAAATGTTAATAATAAGAATGAGATTGGTTAGATGTGGATAAGGAATTAAAAGATTAAGTTGATGAAGTTAACAGAGTTAGTGATAGGGTGGTGGTTGCCATTAAAATAATTATTAAGAAGACAGTTATAAGTATGGCTAGTGCTTATGCTTGTAATGTCAGATTATATGAAAGTTTTGAAAATTAATTTTAGGATAAGAGTGATGATTTGCTAGAACATGCACCACTAAAGAAAAAAAAATTATTGGAGATGATTTAAATGGGCATATAAGCCTAGTAGGATGGCCTACAAGATGATTCGAGGTGATTATAGAACAATAGATAGAGATGCAATGAGTAAAATTAACATGATCTTTTAGTAGCCTTTGATCTTGTGATGACAATCACATGTATTGAGGAACAACTAAAACACTTAGTTACTTGTAAAATTGAGTTGTCAAATCACAGATAACTTTTTTATTTAGAAAGAAGGAAAAATATTTAACACTGTTGTTGTCGGGTCCCAACTCTACCTCACTTAGTGGGATGAAGGCTTGTTGTTGTTGTTGTAAAGAAGGAACAATATTTCAATAATGATTATAAATGATTTAAAATAAAAGCTTGAGCATACTACATAATGTAGTAATTAAGGATTCATATTTTAAGAGTATAAAGAAAATAAACAAAAGAAATTATGGTCTTAATATAAGGCGGAGGAACCTGAAAGGCAAGAAACTCTTAATCTTTCAAGATAGATTGTTAGAGATGCAAATTAAGAATCTTTAGCTAAGAGCCAAATATAATGTGGGATAAGATGTAGAGTTCACCAAAAGGGTTGCTTTAAAAGTTTTGGAAAAGCCTTGAAATAGATTATACAATTATAAGAAGACTAAGGAGGCATAAAGGGTAACTAAGGAAAAGAAATATGTTTTAAACATGAAGAAAAAATGGCAGACTATTGTGACTTACAATAATTAAGAAGGTAGAAGTACTGCAGAGAGAGTACTGCATAAAGCAAAAGTTAGAAATTTTAATTATTTACATAATACTTAATACTATGGAAGGAGATTAGAAGACACATAGAATAACCCAGGTAAGAAATGGTCTAAGAATTTTGATCGAACTAGATGGATTTTTATATAAATTACCAAAGAGTTTGATGAAAGATAAGAAAAAAAAATTTCGAAAGAGCATAACGAACAATATAACATAATATATTATATATTGTCCAATAAGAAAGGAGAAGTTGGCTATGACAAAGGAACGTAAAGTTGATTGGTGAATTTCATAACGCTTTCACAATAACATAAATGTTTAAGCAAAAAATCTTCAAGTTGTAACTTGTGTTATGACTATGGCGCAAGATGTGAAGATTGACCTCCTATAGATCACAGAAAAATAACCTTCAAATCTCTAAAAAATGACTAGGAAAATCATTTTCTATTAACTCACACATTACTAAATATGCCACAAGAAGCATAAGCTTACAAGAAATACAAAACAGAGGCTGATATTACGGATGGTATAGGCATTGCATCTATAGTTATGAGAACAACAATCAGCAAAAAACATAGCAAATCCCAAAAAGCACATGTAATCTGAGATTTGGCTGCATTTAAGGTCAAAACCACTAGATGATGCAGAAGTTTCTTTACTTGCTTGTCTTTTCCAATGTATCAACTATCAATTCATCTAACCTTTGCGGCAATCAAAAAAGAGAAAATATTTTGAAGGTTTTCTGTTGCGCTGCATTTTTTTTGTAGCAGCATTCAAGGTCAAAATTACTAGCTGCCAAAGCAACAAGATTTCAGAAATTTCATCATTCATTGTCTCTCTGTCATTGTTAAATAATTGGCAATCAATTCGCTTAAGCCTTTGTTGCAGTTAGAAATCAGGAAGTGTTTTTCTAAGTTCGAAATCACACAACAAATTGTTTGTAGACACAATTGGGTGAATAGAAACTTCGAGTTGGATAAAAGTGGCAAAAATCTGTATTACAAGTCTTCGAATTTCAAACAAACACAGGTTTTGCATGCCTTCTTGTGTAATTTTCATTCTATTCCTCATATTATCTATTCCATGAAATGTTAGAATCTAAAAACTGGAAGATGAATTATGCAAATCTTTCGATCATACAGGTCAGTTTCCTGAAAAGTAGGACTTACTGTAAATTGGATTTTAGTAAATCTTAAAGCTATTAAATCATGAAAGTTCTTAATTGTCATTATCTTTAATATGGAGTCAAATATTGATAGTGTTTGGATGCAAGCATAAAATTTTACTAAATTATATAGTTCCACACCATCAAATACCAGGATTTACACAAATTTAGCCAAATTCTAGATTAATTAAATCTAGAATTTAAGGAAGACATGATTTGCGAAAATGTGCATTGGCGTGAAAAGGGATTAACAACAGATAACGTGTAATAAAATCAAACTGGAACTTCCAGAGAAACGCTACGAGTAGTAGAAAGACAAATTGGACAAAAAAGCGAGATGTAACTAACCATTGACCCTCTCCCGATAGGCGTTTGAAGAAACCCATTCAACTCCCTTCTGTACTGCAAATAATATACATAAACAAAGCAAAATTTTCAATTAAAGAACAAACCAGATCGGCAAGCGAAGTAGTCGGCGATAGGGAAAAGTTCAAACCCTTGGCCAGTTCCTGGAGAAATCCATGGAAAAGTAACGCCATCGGCGACTAATCCCGATCTCGTAGTCAATCTCCTGCGCCCTCGAAGCAGCAGCGCGTGCCGCGGATCCTATGCGTCTAGAGACGGCATAGCGTCGGTCGATCCGCTCGACAGTTCGCCGAGCTTCGAACGCCAGCTGCTCAATCCCCTCGTTTGCACTCCGCCAAGCGTCGCGCAGCGCCTCGCCGGAGGTGACCCGCCGTGCGAAGCCGTCAAAGTCACTCCGGTGGAACGCTCGAATCGTTGAAGTGCGAGAAATCGTTGCAGTTGTGAAGCGATAATTGGGAGGATCCGGTTTCGTCGGGAGGAAGAGAGGACGATGCCAGGGGATGCTGGCCGCCATGTCGGAACTGGAGGGAAAGCAGGAAAATGCCCTACAGGCTACACGCAGTTTCAGCCAGTATACACGCGAAGGCGGGCTACTGCTCGCGATATTATGGATTACTGGCGCAGCCAATACTAACTGTCGCAGCACTGCAAAGTACAGTTTTTTTGGGGCAAATTTTGGTTAAGAATATCTGAATCAAATCGTCAAAATGAGTTTAAAAATGTTACTTTTCATATATATATATATATA